CAGTACAAATTATGGTTCCAAGGGACCAAATTGCTGATATAGTTAGAGAAATGTGTAGACCTATGGCTCGGGGGGTCCAGACACCAATATATAGAAAACCTTACCCAAAGTGGGTGGATAGAGTACACGAGTATCCTAGGGGGTTTAGAATACCAAACTTTGCCTTATTTTATGGTAATAGAAATCAGTCAACAGTAGGACACATTGTTATATTTATAAGCCAATGTGGTGAGTTTGCTAATAATGATTACATCAAACTGAGACTTTTTCCAAGTTCTTTAACTGGAGCAGCCTTCGTATGGTACATAAACCTTACACCTGGCTCTATCCAAACATGACAGCAAATTGAGGAAGTTTTTCATGCCCATTTTTTCCAAACAGAACCTGAAGTTTCTATGGTAGACTTGGCAAGATTGAACCAAAGGCCTGATGAGAAGGCTGCTCAGTTTATTGTCAGATTTAAAAGGGCACGAAAAAAATGCAGGGTCATGCTACCAGAGCCTGAATTTGTGAGATTGGCTTAGAATGGCTTGGAATTTAGGCTTTAAAAGAAATTTGATTCAACTGAGTTTTGAGACATAGTAGAGTTATAACTTTACTTGTGGAAGAACAATATTAAAGTAATGCATCATACAAGACCTACTATAGGGACCTTAATTATGAAATTGATGCAACAGAGATAGTAGGAAAAGAACCTATGACTTGTGAGGCATTAATTCAGAAAGACAGTACAATAGACCAGCAGTTTAAAAAGAAAGACCTCCATATGAAGTATTCTTTTGACTTAACAAAAGCAGATGACATTTTTGATCATTTGCTTACAACAAATTTCCTAAAGTTTCCAAAGGGGGTCAAGATTCCTACCTTGGAAGAACTTAAAGAAAAACTATACTGTAAATAGCACAATTCTTGGTCTCATTCAACTAAAAACTGTATTGTTTTAAAAGACAAGATCCAAGAATAGATTCGAAAGGGAAGGCTAAAGTTTCCAGCTAAGTCTGAGAAAGCTATAGGAATTGACACCAACCCATTTCCAGAAATTGGAGAGACTGCAGCCAATGTTGGCATGCCAAATTTCAAAAACCTATCCCTGAAAGAATTGGAGGAAGCCACTGTGCAGATGTATGTGACTAGCCAAGATGCTCTCAGGAAGAACACAAGAAGCTCACCAGCTGATGGACAAAGCTTTGCAGACCTAAAAGAAAGCTCTAGTGAAGAGATGTTGGATGATGACTCTCTCTCGAAGATGTGCCCCAGGTGCAGGATATGTTACAAGTGGTTAAATAGGCTCCTAGTTAATGGGAAGCAGCATTACAAAGAGCTGTAGAGGGACCGAATAACCAGCACCCATAACAAGAGGCCATACCCAACTGGCCCTAGACAGCATTCGTCCTTGATATTCCCACCAAACACCAGGATACAGTCAAAGGAAAATAGGCCTCTGTATGAAACTAGGTCACCTAATTATTACAGAGTAGACAGCCAGCTTGAAAGGAGGCATGGATTCAGTACAAGGCATGGGACCAAGATTGATAATTGGCCCCCGAAGACTGTTTCAAAGAGTGGAGTAGCAGATCCAACAACCAAACCAGTGGGCTCATGGGTCCCAGGAGTTCCAGATTGGTTTGTCATATAGAATAAACCTAAGAAATGTCAACTCAAATAAAGTTTTTGGAGACCGGGAAAGAATGATCAAACCTCCCTTGGTGGCTCCAAACAATTGGGTGTTATTAAAGAATCCAAAAACAAGGGAGCCAGATGTGGTTCCTATAATTTCTAGGTCTCAAAGAAGGAAGATCCAACGAAGATACACCCAGTATCAGAAGGATCTGAAAGAAAATGGAGAGAGCATTTCCATAGCATAAGCAAAGGATCAGATAGATGGAGAGATAGGTTCAAAGCCTGTTCCCAAGATCAAGAGGAGTGCCAGCATGGAGCAGTTGGTTAAAGTTCACACTGAACTAAGGGCCAAAGAAAAATTCAGTTTAGCGGGCCTCGAGAAAGCTTTAATGGAAAGCGACGATGACACGGATGAAGGGATTGAAATAGCCCAAGAGAGAACATTGGCTGAAGATGGAGTATTTGAGGCTTTCATAGCTAAGCAAACCTTTTTGGTTGACAAACCAACGGAGGCAGATCATCAACAAGCTGTTTTAAAGGAACCTACTAGCACGGAGGTACCAGAGTACAGCATGGAATATGCTTCCGAAATAACAGAACAAGCTAGTTTAGAAGGGAAACAAGTACAACCAGCAGTTCAGTTTGGCTCATTTCTTCCAATGTCAGTAAACATGGTATATATACTATCACAGGAGTTCCAGGTTGAAGAAGGAAACCAAGAAAGTCAGGAGGATGACCCTATTCCGGTTTCTAGTGAAGATTCACGGGTTAGCATGATTCAAGATGAGTTTGATGTGGCCACACCAATGAAAACTGAAGAAGAAAGTGAGAAGATGAATATTAACCTCTCGTATCCCTTCGAGTACCCTACAACATCTATGACTCAGCACGTTAAGCCATTATACATCAAGGCTTATATCGATGGGATACAAATGAACGGGGTGTTAGTGGACAATGGGGCGGTAGTGAACCTGCTTCCAAAATTCTTTTTGAAGAAATTAAAAAAAAAAATACCCAGATTAATCCCAACCAGCATAACCATTAATGGTTTTGCTGGCGATATGCAGATGGCTCAGGGTATTCTGCCAATCAACTTAAGTGTGGGAACCAGAGATTGCATGACAACATTCCTTATTATATACAGTAATGCCAAGTATAATGCTTTGCTTGACGGCGATTAGATCCATACCAACAAATGTGTGCCTTCCTCTCTACATCAGAAAATAATGATAGCCCTATGCAATGGAGAGACAGAGAAGATCAACGCAGACCCTCAACCATTTATCTCTTGTGCTGAATTTACAGAGGCCAAGTTATATACTGAAGAAGTGACACCACTTAGTATATTGAGGAAACCTGATGGAACAACCGAAGTCACGGCTAATGAGGAAGTAGCACACCTGAAGCACTTAGTGCAGGAGAGTGCTGATGAACAGTTCATCACCAAGGATGACAATGATACCTGGTTGTAGGCAAGAAAATGAGAGCCAAGAAGCCAGACCCTTGGCCTTAGTCAAGTTTTCAGCATTGGACATAAAGTCAATAGTCCAAAAGGTTCAAGAACAAGAGAGGGAAGCCATGGTGGTTGGCTGTAATCAGGAGCAACAAAAGGCCAGGCTTTTGGCCCTTGATAAGTACTGTGCATTGGACATCGAGACAAAAGTCCAGGAAATATAGGAAGAAAAAGCCTTATGGACAGATTTTGTCTATGAGGAAGAAGGTAAAGATGTTAAACTAGAGAATGTGGAAGTAGAACAAAACGAAGAAGTTGCTTCGAACGCAAAAGAAGTCAAAGGAGAAGCATTAGTAAGTGTTCAAGTACAAGACCCCTTGAAAGAAGTCAATTTAGGGAAAGGTTCTGCACAGCAACCCACTTATATTAGTGCTTGGTTAAGTCCTATTGACAGGAACCAGTTGTTGGTAGTCCTAAAGCAATATAAGGATTGTTTTGCATGGTCTTATAATGAACTGTCAGGATTGGATAGGTCATTAGTGGAACATAGGCTCCCTATGAAGTCTAACTTCAAACCACACAAGCAGAAACCAAGACGGATAGGCCCTGAAGTGGTTTAGAAAGTGAAGAAGGAAATTCTCAGGCTCCTTAAAGCAGGCTTTATTAGAATAGCCAGGTATGTTGAATGGTTGTCTAACATTGTGCATGTGGTTAAAAAGAATGGCAAGATAAGGGTATGCATCGATTTTAGAAATCTGAATTTGGCAACTCCAAAAGATGAATACCCCATGCCTATAGTGGATCTATTGGTGGACAATTCAACAAGGCATAGGATTTTGTCTATGATGGATGGGCATTCTGGTTATAACCAAATCTACATTGCAGAGGAATATGTCCATGAGACAGTATTCAGGTGTCCTAGGAATATTAGCACCTTCGAATGGGTAAAAATGTCATTTGGTTTAAAGAATGTTGGGGCAACATATCAGAGGGCAATTAATACTATCTTTCATGATCTTATTGGAGGATACCTAGAGTGTTACGTTGATGATGTTGTTGTAAAGTCCTAATCTATGGAGGAACTCTTGGTTCACTTGGTAGCAGCTTTCGAAAGAATGAGAAAGTTCAAGTTAAAGCTTAATCCTCTCAAATGTGTTTTTGGTGTATCAACTGGAAACTTCTTGGGATATGTAGTGCACAAGAAGGGAATATAGATTGATCAGAATAAAGCTAAAGCCATCATTGAGGCCAAACCTTCATCAAGTAAGAAAGAAGTACAAAAGTTCCTTGGTCAGGTTAATTTTCTTCGAAGATTTATTTATAACATTGCAGGGAAAACTAAAGTATTTTCTTCGTTGTTAAAGTTGAAAGATAAAGAGGAGTTTGTGTGGATAACAGAGCATCAAGCTGATTTCGAAGGAATTAAAGCCTACTTGGCCAAGCCTCCAGTGTTGATGCCGCCAAGGAGCGACAAGCCCTTGAAGTTATACATTGCTACAGCAGAAGATTCATTGGGAGTTTTCCTAGCCCAAGACAATGAAGAAAGCAAGGAGTAAGCAATTTATTACCTTAGTAGGTTTTTAAATTCTTATGAGTACAAATACTCAGCTGTAGAAGAGATGTGCTTTGCATTGTACTTTGCTGCAATGAAATTAAGATATTATCTTTTGCCTACTGTTGTCATCCCTTGGCCTTAATCAAGTTTTCAGCATTAGACACAAAGTCAATAGTCCAGAAGGTACAAAAACAGGAGAGGGAAGCCATGGTGATTGGTTGTAATCAAGAGCAACAAAAGGTCAGTCCTTTGGCCCTTGATAAGTACTATGCATTGGACATCGATACAAAAGTCCAGGAAATACAGGAAGAAGAAGCCTTATGGATATATTTTGTCTATGAGGAAGAAAGCAAAGATATTGAGCCAGAGAAGATGGAAGCAGAACAAAATGAAGAAGTTGCTTCGAAGGTAGAGGAAGTCAAAGGGGAAGCATCAGTAAGTGCTCAAGTACAAGACCCTTTGGAAGAAGTCAACTTAGGGGAAGGTTCTGCACAGCAACCCACTTATATTAGTGCTTGGTTAAGTCCTATTAACAGGAACCAGTTGTTGGTAGTCCTAAAGCAATATAAGGATTGTTTTGCCTGGTCTTATAATGAACTGCCTGGATTGGACAGGTCATTAGTGGAACATAGGTTCCCTATGAAGCCTAATTTCAAGCCACACAAGCAGAAACCAAGACGGATGAGCCCTAAAGTGGTTCAAAAAGTGAAAGAGGAGATTCTTAGGCTCCTTAAGGCAGGCTTCATTAGAACAACCAGGTATGTTGAATGGTTGTCTAACATTGTGCCTGTGGTTAAAAAGAATGGCAAGATGAGGGTATGCATCGATTTTAGAAATTTGAATTTGGCAACTCCAAAAGATGAATACCCCATGCCTATAGTGGATCTATTGGTGGACAATTCAGCAAGGCATAGGATTTTGTCTATGATAGATGGGCATTCTGGTTATAACCAAATCTACATTGCAGAAGAGGATGTCCACGAGACAGCATTCAGGTGTCCTGGGAATATTGGCACCTTCGAATAGGTAAAAATGTCATTTGGTTTAAAGAATGTTGGGGCAACATATCAGAGGGCAATTAATACTATCTTTCATGATCTTATTGGAGGATACTTAGAGTGTTACGTTGATGACATTGTTGTAAAGTCCCAATCTATGGAGGAACTCTTGGTTCACTTGGTAGCAGCTTTCGAAAGAATGAGAAAGTTCAAGTTAAAGCTTAATCCTCTCAAATGTGTTTTTGATGTATCAACTGGAAACTTCTTGGGATATGTAGTGCACAAGAAAGGAATATAGATTGATCAGAATAAAGCTAAAGCCATTATTGAGGCCAAACCTTCATCAAGTAAGAAAGAAATACAAAAGTTCCTTGGTCAGGTTAATTTTCTTCGAAGATTTATTCCTAACATTGCAGGAAAAACTAAAGTATTTTCTTCTTATTTAAAGTTGAAAAATGAAGAGGAGTTTGTATGGACAGCAGAGCATCAAGCTGCTTTCGAAGGAATTAAAGCCTACTTAACCGAGCCTCTAGTGTTGACGCCGCCAAGGAGTGACAAGCCCTTAAAGTTATACATTGCTACAGCAAAAGATTCATTGGGAGTTTTCCTAGCCCAAGACAATGAAGAAAGCAAGGAGCAAGCAGTTTATTACCTTAGTAGGTTTTTAAATTCTTGTGAATGTAAATACTCAGTTGTAGAAAAGTTGTGCCTTGCATTGTACTTTGCAACAATGAAATTAAGATATTATCTTTTACCTACTGTTATCTTGGTAATTGCAACCACGGACTTGGTTAAGTACATGTTATATAGACCTATGTTGAGAGGAAGAATTGGCAAATGAATATTAGCTTTATCAGAATTTTATCTAGAATATGTCCCCCAAAAATGCAGTAAAAGGACAAGTTTTGGCTAACTTCTTGGCAGATCATCCATGTCCAACAGAAAGCAAGGAGATAATGGACCTTAGTATGGTCAATGTTAAGCCATGGCAAATGTGATTCGATAGATCAAAAGCCAGTGGTTTGATTGGAATTGGTGTTATAATTAAATCACCACAGGGGGTAGAAACCACACATGGTTTCAAAGTAGATGAAACTACTTGTTCTAATAATCAAGCTGAATATGAAGCTTTAATAATGGGACTTGAGATACTTATTGGATTACAAGCTTATACAGTTACAACCAAGTAAAATGAATGTTCAACTGTCAAAGTGCAAGCATGTTATCATATTATGTTGTTGCACTGCATTTGCTTTCTCAATTTTAGATAGCCAATGTGACTTATATCCCAAGAGTCATGAACCATAAGGCCAATGATGTGGCCCAAAAGGCTTCGAATTTCAAAAGAAATGGGAATACCCAAGTGGACATAAGTCAAGCAACATACCAGAAGTTAATACCACCTTTGGCTAAAATGGGTATCATAGTAGAAGTTAACCAGAATAACTTAGAAGAGCATGATTGGAGACATCTGATCATTCAATATTTAATTGACCCATCTTTGAAGACCAGCAGGAAAATTAAACTACAGTATATGCAATATATAGTGTAAAACAATGCTCATTACAAAAAGGGAGCAGATGGGTTGCTGTTGGAATGCTTAGGGCCACAGGAAGCATTTACTGATATGGTTGAGGTGTATGAAAGTATTTGTGGTGCCCATCAACCTGATGTGAAGATAAGATGGTTGCTTCGAAGGCATTCCTACTATTGGCCAATCATCCTAAAGGATTGCATAGAATATGCAAAAGAATGTCAAGCATGCCAGAAGCATGACATGATAAGGCATGTTCCGATAACTGATTTGTATACAGTAGTAAAGCCATGGCCATTTAGAGGATGAGTAATGGACATGACAGGGAAAATATATCCACTTTCTTCGAAGTAACATTATTTCATTCTAGTGGCCACAGATTACTTCACTAAATAGGTCAAAGCTAAGCCTTATAAGGCTGTGGATCAGACTGAAGTTATTGGATTTATCAAGGAATTGATCCATAGGTTTGGCATCCTACAGACCATAACTGTAGATAATAGGACTGTATTTGATGAAAAATAGTAAAATCTTTCTCAGCAGAGTTTGGAATTAGCCTTCTTAATTCCACCCTTTATCATGCACAAGTAAATGGTCAGGCTAAATCATCTAATAAATCCTTGAAAAAAAGAATACAAAGAGTTATGGAATACAATCCTAGGAATTGGCATAACTTATTATTCGATGTGTTGTGGGCCTATAGAATTTCTCCAAAGTCAAGTACAGGAATCACTCCTTATGCCTTAGTATATAGACATGATGCGGTGTTGCTTGTGGAAATTAATATTAAATCCTTAAGGGTAAAATGTCAGGACCAGTAAATTTCTGAGCAGCACCATCAAAGCATGTTCTTGGAATTAGAAAATGTGGATGAAGCTAGAATTTTAGCATTAAATAGCATTCTTTTCCAAAAGAAGAAGGCAACCAAAAACTATAATAAGAAAGTCAGACACATTAGCTTTAATAAAGGTAATTTGGTATGGAAGACAATACTTCCAATAGGAATTAAAAGCCATAATTTTTTCAAATGGCCAAGAAGGACATACTAAATTCATAGAGTCTTGCCTAGGGGAGCATACCATCTGAGAAATCTGAATGGATATGTGCATCCCAAAAAAATTAATGGCAACTACTTAAAGCCTTATTATCCAACTATGTGGGAGACACAATGAGTGTAGAAAGTGCTAAATAATAGAATGATAGAGCATGATACACCCACATAGATAATAAAAGGTTTTTCATTTTATAAAAAAATTAAGTACATGTAGCCACAAATTGGCCCAGAAATCAATACAGTGTTTCAATTGTTCCCTTACAATTAATTCTTTACTTCTAAGGGATGGGAACAACTGAATGGCTATAACCATATCTTGTTTTTTGTCAGTCAGCCACTGGTTAGTAATTTGTAGCTTCTTGGCATTTTGATCCAAGGTTAGGTTGACTGTTGCTAGCTCCTCTTCCAGTTGAGCTTTATTTTCCAACAGCTAGGATCAAAACTGGGATGTATAGGAGTATTGTCCCTTCAATTAAAGCACTTCAGCATGGATGTGGGATAAAAACTCCTTATTATTCAGCAGTTTTTCTTCTGCAGCCTTAGCCATTTGGCAGATATTAATGTAAAAGTCTATGGTGGCTGCTGCCTGAGATAGGTAGCTTGAAAAGGCCAGATCTGATTGCTCGAACGCCTGGCAGCATTTAAGGAAACCATTCTTGATGATAAGTCTCTGCAAAGTTTCAAATAGAATCCTCAAAAATGTTTACAGTAAATCCAAGCAAGTGCCCAAGTCCGCTCGGGGTAAAGAAGCTTTAGCAACAGTAGAGGAGCTCTAAAAAATCTCTAGTAAGGAATCGGAAAGGGTCAATGGCTCAGTCTCACTGCTTGGTACCTGAGCTGGTGAAGAGATGCCAAACAAGCTGGCTAGCTGAGCCTCGAAGATGTCTATCTCCTCCTCTGATATTATTAGTACAGAGAGATTGCTGGTTGAAAAAAGAGATAGAAGCATAAGAATAGGTGAAGGGGTAGAAGTTCCCTTTACACAGTCAATAGTCCTGGCTACTAGCAAGTCTAAAGAAGAGAGACTAGAGCTGGATGGTTGAAAGGAAATTGGTGAGCCACCAGTATCTTCCTTGCGAGTACTAGTTATCACTAAAGATGAAGTGACCACTGGAATTCTCTCAAGTGATACAGGAGTAGCCATGATTATAAGAGAAGTCAAATAAGAGGTGAGGAAAGATAGATGGGGCAAGTATGGTGTTAAGCCTGGACATAAGAAAGGTGGAATACTTTGCTTTAAAAAGGAAAGCATGAAGGATATAGAGCTGGGAAGTAGAAGTACCATCTGAATAGGCTCTATAATCATTGGAACTTCAATATAAGCCTTTCTTGTTCCTTTTGTGACCAAAGAGGCCAATGTCGGAGGAGGAATGACTGTTGTTGCATAAATAGAAAATAGAAAGAAAATGTTAATTCTTTTTGTTAAGACTTGAGAAGGAATCAAAAGGAGTTAAGGGAGAAATTACTAGCCTCAGAGGTTGTAATGGTAATGATTGGAGAGCCGCAAAGGGCATAGAGCTCAGCAGTCTATTTTTTCCTTCCAGCCTCTCTTTGTAACGCGTCAGCAGCAGCAGCTTCATTCTTTAGTATTTGTTGCTACCTTCTCTTTTCAGACCTCTGAAATACTATAATTTCTTCGGAATGTTCCACGGCCTTAGCAGCTGCCTTATGTGTGAGGCCCTAACTTTTTGTAATGTCCCCAAACGCTTATTGTTAAAGAATTTCAATAAGAAACCTTGTTTCTCCATTTCTTGCATATTAAACCCTAGAAATCAGGAACGACTGTACGAGATAATCAGCAAACCCTAATCAACTCTAAACTTAAGAAACATTTTAAAACCCTGAATTAATAATTTAGAAACCATATAATGAAAAATTACAAGAGAAAAACCCTAGTTTTTAGTAATCGCAGTTTTAGCTCGGTATCTCGCCTTTTGTTGCGAATCGGCACCACGTGGCCCGAATTATTTTTCCTATCATTATTCTATTAATTATATGACTTAAACATATGTTTTATTTCAAAATTTCATATTGTACCCTTTTCTTCCTTAATTATTGTATTTTGGCCTAAAACCTTAATATTTTATTCAATAAAGCTACAACCAATATTTTATTAATTTATACAAAATATCCTCTATATTTTATTAACCAAAAAAAAAATCAAATTTTCACATGGGTAAATAGGGAAGCCGATTGTGGGTGGTGAAAAGGACCTAGAATTGTATTTTTTATACATAGCAAATCTTGTACAAATATGAAACAAATCTTTGACCAACATGGAGGAATGGGAGGCATTTATTGCTATATCTTTTTTGTCTCCCAATTAACTAGTAAATAGGATTACTTTCTCTTAATCAAGATCAATTAACACAAATCTTAATTGCATCCAATTACAAGCCAACCAAACTTGAATAGTTTCTATTGAAAACCAACCAAACCAAACCAACCCTTCTCTCTCCTCCTCGGCCTATAAATACAAGCCTTGCTAGCTATTTTATTTCACTCCATACACACACACAACACACAGCTGAGAGAGGAGGAAAGGGAGAGCAAGTGAGTTTGAGAGAAAAAGAGAAGAAAAGAGAGCAACAAGTAAGAAAAAGATCTAGCAAACTAAGGTAAATCTCATACACCTCTTCTTTCAATGAATCATCATGTTTTTCCCCTTCATAATACATGCTAAAAATATATTTCACATGATACTAAGAGTTACTACATTGTTAAATGATGTATGGTTTGAAAATGAAATGTTCCTCTTCTTCCTTGCAATTTCCAACAAGCTTTTTTCAAGGTTTTTTATTTTATTTCCATAGAAAACCTTCACTAACTCAAAATATATTTTAAATGGGTATTAATTGACATATATAGAGTATGTGAAAATTTTGGCTAAGACCATGGATGTATTTTTATGACTCCTTTTATTTTTCTAAATACTTGGTGCAAGAACCTGTTTAAAACAGGGAACTTTAATAAATTCTAGAAAATTATAGAAAAATGATCTTCCGTTCATTTTTATATCAAAATCTTCCTCTGAAGTTTATCTTTCAAAGAAAATTTATTTCAATGAAATTGAATGATTATTTTAAGAGAAACATCAAATTTTGTAACAGTTGTCAAATTTGGACAGATCTCTTAAATATCTAAAAATCAAAAAGGGCCACCCTACTTCCGTAAAATGATTCTAAAACTAGACTTGATTCTCTACAAATTCTCAATAAGCCACATTTCTAAAACCCTTAGAAAATATTTTTTCTATATTTATTTTTGAACCGGTGCAGTTCTGGAAATCTGACAGTGTGGTTCTTGTTATAGTTAGTGTTTTTGTGCTATCATGACATATTTGTTGTAATATATGTTATACTTGCATGCTTGAGTTTCACCTTGAATGGCCTTATTTTGCTCTTACTTGTACTAACCACTAATGTGTAATGAACTTAATGTGTAAAGGGGAAAACTAAATGGATTGGTAAAGAGGGTTGACGACCACACTAGTTATACATCATAAATGATGAGAATGTTAAGTTGATATTAGTAGTGAATTAAAATGAGCAATTCTTGCGCAACTAGTTGTTTCGTAACCCTTGAATGGAGCTGTTGTATTCGGACCCTAGGTAGTTCGGTGTAAGAAGGGATTTGTGCTAGGCCCATCATTACCATCTATTTTGAGGCCCTTGGTTGGCGTTACGCGGTATATTACCGTTGGTAGGCATCCGAGGTAAGGTCTACAACAAAGCAGCAAAAGAGGGGGCTTACCAAATAATCTGCGTCTAATTCTTGGAGTTGGGAGGACGAAATCTCTTCGGGAGATTTCTAGACTACTAACAATTAACCATATAATCAGTGCTATGACCTTAAATGCCATGATCCTTTCCTCTGTCTTTTTGTAAATGTTGTTGTGTATTGGACTGGAAAAAATGGATGGGGTGTATGTGCGTTTACTGGGCATTTAAAGCTCACAGCGTATCATACCAGGTGCCGAAGAGAGCTTACAGCAGGAAACGATGAGCCAGAAACCTTCGAAGACATTTGGCTATCTTAGAAAAGTTAGAAATTTCCTTTTAATGTTTTGTAAAGTTCATATAAAAATTTAAATTTTCTTTTGGGATGTAATGTTAATGGAACGAGCTTTTGTAATTAAGGATATTCGTAATTATTCTATTAGTACGTACTTATATTCTAACACCAATATAACCCTTGACGTCGCTTATGAGACCTTGTGTCAATGCCTCTTAAGATCTGTCAAAAGGGCAGTGCG